TCTCTAGTTGAAGGCTGGCTCTGGTTTTGGTTTTGATCGAGCTCAGTTTGGCTCTGGTTGGGGGTTGGCTTTGGCTTTCTTTCTTGTTGAACTCGGTTTGGCTCTAGTGTGGGCTTTGTTTGCTTGCTCTAGCTCTACTGACTTGGTTTGATTCTAGTTGTTGGTCTTGAGTTGCTTCGTTTGGCCTTTGCTAGACTTGGATTAGCTCTAGGGTGGGGGCTGTGTTTGCTTGTTTTAGCCTTTTTGAGCTCGGTTTTGGCTTTGTTTCTTGTTGGGCTCGATTTGATTTTGATTGAGGGCTGTGTTGCTTTGTTCAGCCTTTACCCGAGGAATGGTTAGGAGGTGGCTTTGCTGACTTGGGTTCTTACTCCTTACCCGTGAGGTCCATTGCTAATCTTTGGGTGTGATTTGGTTTTCCCTGCTAAGCTTGGATTGACTTGAGTGTTGTGGATGAATCAAGCTTGCCATCAAAAAAAAAAGAAAATCATATTTATGTTAGTTATCCCTTCATTTAGTCAGAGAGGCATAGCTGCCTTTTGGTGGTCCTTTTGTTGGCTTCGACGTTGAGCCCCGTGTGCTTTGGATGGCTTCTGGTTATGGGCCTTTACAGCTGTTCTTTGCTGCCTTAAGCCGTGAGCTTTATTAGTTCTTTTTGGGCCCCTTTGTTGCCTTAACTATAAGCCTTACTTGTTGTCTTTTAGACTGCCTTTGGTTATGGATCTTGGTAGCCATTCTTTGCTCCAGCCGTGAGCCCTCCTATCCCCATCCCTGGCCGTGGCCGAGAGCCTTGTAGGCTGTTTCCTCTTTTCTGCTGAGCCTTGGCCGTGAGTCCTACCTGCTGTTCATCTCTTTGTGATGACCCCGATCGTGAGCATGTCTATGGTTTGATGGGAAGATTTCTGTGCTTACTTAATATATGGAGTTATGGATTGAGTTGGAAGAATTTCGAACTTAGTACGGGTTTGAAAGTATTGACAGTGGTTTTCCCCGTGATCATTTTCCTTCGCAGTTTGGGAAATTTTAAATATCATTTTGGAAGAACATTTGGTCGATTTGATTAATCCTGCGTTCTTGGGGTTTGGAGAATCAGAAAATTAGGATTACTTTAGTTGCCCTTCGGTGTTTGTCGGGGGAGCGTTGTAGCAGCTATTGGTGCTTCTTCTGTTTTCCTTAGCCGTGAGCCCCCTTTGTGCTCTGGGTTGCCGTAGCCGTGGGTCTTACTTGTGCTTTGGATGTGGGCTTTTGCAGCTGCTCTTTGCTGCCTTAAGCCGTGAGCTTTAATAGTTCTTTCCTGGGTCCTTTGTTGTCTTAACCGTAAGCCTTATTTATTGTCTCTTGGACTGCCTTTGGTTGTGGGTCTTGGCAGTTGTCCCTTGCTTTAACCGCGAACCTCTTTTGGCCCCGTTCTTTGCCTTGGCCGAGAGCTTTGGTGGTTGTTTCCTCCTTTTTATTGACCCTGGCCGTGAGTGTTTATCTGGTTTTATGGGAAGATTTCTGTGCTTACTTAATGTATGGAGTTATGGATTGAGTTGGAAGAATTTCGAACTTAGTACGGGTTTGGAAGTATTGACAGTGGTTTTCCCCGCGATCATTTTCCTTCGAAGTTTGGGAAATTTTAAATATCATTTTGGAAGAACATTTGGTCAATTTGATTAATCCTGCGTTCTTGGGGTTTGGAGAATCAGCACGAAGGGATATTTTGTGTTTGTCAGGAAAGTCCTCGGGCCCTACTTTTCCAGGTCTTTTCGATACGAGTTTTTGAGAACTGATCCAGTCTCCTTCTTCGGTGTTTTAGATGGATCAGTGTCTCCTCTCTCACCTCATTTTTGTTCTTTTATTTCCTTGCTTCTTGGTTCGGTTTTCGATGCTTATGCCCGATGCATAAGTGTCCACGTATAGCCTTTTGCTATACGTGAAACCATCAAGCAAGGTCGCAAGTAGTCGTTTTGGGGCGT